ATATATATTGAAATGTAATTATATATTAGACGGTTTATTTTTCGATTTAGTTAGATAGATTAAATAAGATCAAAAACAAAGTTTTGATAAATTGCAGACGATTTTATCGGAGTATTGCCTATTAATATAAAATTTAAACACCACGCATTAAATAAAATGCACACAGACATCTGCGTATTCTATAAGTGTTCTTATTGTAAACCTTAAAATAAACTTTATGTCAGTGTATTTTACATAATTGTCTACTATTTTCTTCTGTTTAGGTAAATTTTTAAATTTCGATTGATATTACAATAAGTACCTAGAAGATAAAAGATGATAGTCAAGTATTTGTAAAGAAAACACCAGACAACAAGAATTTTGTTTCTGATTTCCCTATATTTAACGCATAACTAATGACATTTTTTTTGTTAAAAAAATTTGCTGTTGTAGCTATGATAACTAAATATTTTTTAGGAAAATCTAAGGAAAATCTTCCTATTTACCCGATTGTCTACTTTAAAAAAAAAAAAAATATATATATATATAAAGAAACAAACGTAAAATATCTTTTATCGGCTTTTATTTAAACAGCCGATATTTATACAAAAAATATATAAAAATTCTTTAAATGTGAAAAATTTTGGCATTATTTTGTGTAAGCTAGAACTTTCTCATATCAGCCCTCAAATATAGACACCCATCATGTTCTCTTTATATTGTCCTTGATACCATTATTCAAAGTTCATTATATCTTGATGAAGACCTTCCCCTTGTTCTTCTGCATATACCTCCAAGTTATCTTTAAATTTATCCAAATGAGCATTCAGCATATGTACTTTAAGAGACATTCTGCAACCCATGATTTTGAAGCTGTGAAGCATATCAGAAATAAGCTCTTTATAATTGTCAGCCCTTCTGTAACCAAGAAAGCTATGAATTACTGCTTTAAGACTAAGCCACGCCTGTTTTTCGTGGAAAATCAGCAACTGTACGAATTGTTCACTGGACAGACGAAAATACCAGCTTTAATTTTAGCCTCTGACAACTTCGGAAAAAAGGATTTTATGCCTTTGATGTTTGATATCATTTCTTTTTTATTATTCACATTAAATTTTCTTTTTAAATTATGTAACCGTATGTTAAAAATAAATATATCTTAAAAACACGTATAAGTGCTACATATTAAAGAAAACCTAGAAACGGGGCATGTAATTATTTTATAAGTAATTTTAGTAATACGTACATATCGAAATGTTTTTATATTCTTATTATTTTATGTTGTTACAGTTTTTTGTTTATAACATAAATATATGTACCCACTTATCAACCCTAATCAGCTTTTTCTTTAACTACCTATTATATATGATTGGTCACATATAATTGAAGTCAACTTTCATTGCTGCATTCTAAATATCGAAAACTTATTTTTTTGTAAAATATATAGCTTGGTAGCGCAGCGGATAAGCGTCGTTGCTCGTGATTGTTGTTGTTAAGCAATTTTAGCCGGGGTTGTTCACGGGATGGGTGACCAAAAAATTATTAAATAAAACCCTGAGCCCCACTGGATGGAAGTGTAAAAGAGCTGACGATGATGAACAATATATCAGAGACTAAAATTTAATGAAGCAATTAATTACATGCAAATTTTGACGAACACAGTATTTCAAATTGATATAACTTTTTTATTTAATGAACTTATTAAAATAAAACGAACACTAAATGTTACCGGAAGGTTACTTAGGTTATACAATATTATAGTGAAAACCGCATTAAAATCAGTTCAGCCCTTTCTGAGATAAATGCGCACAAACGCACAGAAATACAGACAAAAATTGAAAATAATATATATGTAAACATATAAACAAAACAGTTACTTTCATATATTTTTAATGTACACACATCGATCAGTTACGTTTTTATTATAGCATATATAGATAGCTATGGATTATCTTATACTCTTGATTGATTTTCGTTATGCAATGTTTGTTTTAAAAATATTATAAATTTTTTCTCGTACCAAGATAAAACAATATAACGCTTTTTTTACATAAAAAAATTCAAAATACACTTCAAATCGAATCGATTCCCCTTCATACATTGTTCAGGCTTAGGACTGACAATTTGCACTACACAAACAACTATTTATACGATTTGGTGATGTTCTATTAGTTTATTATGTACACATGCTTTAAGCAATTTAAAATTTAATAAAATTTTAAAACTTGGCAGTAAAATTCGTTTTTTAAATTCTGAACCTTGATCGTGATACATGATTTCAAAACAAAAGTCGAATTAAAGTATTAAATAAACAAATGTAGTCGCTGGTTGGCCGATAAGTGCAATCATTTGTTACGGACATGCGACTCGATGTCGATGTCGACCGAATCTTTCCGAACGATCGCTTAGTATAACTTTTTCACTGTCGATCGTGAGCGCATTAAGATTTTAGTATGGAATCCGGTACAGCGCTCCTAGCGGTAACTACCAAGAACTACAAATCTCCATACAAATTCTTAACGCGCTCACTAGTGAACGCGTTAGCGTAAAACTAACACTTACCACTCTGTTCATTCTTTAGTTCATTCGTGTCAGTGAGCGCCACTGATCTATTCGGAGCGAACTTTGAGATTCGGATCACTGGATCATTTTGCTGAAAGGACTCACCGAGTATTACTAAATCTCGTGGTATTGATAACACCATTCGACTTCGTATGTTTTATTGTGGTATTTTGAAATAGATTAATAGACGCAATGTCATCAAAATTAGCTGTTCTGAAATCTACGAGTACCTGAAATGTTATGGTTATGAGACGATGCTATTAAAATATAAGTATAGCATTTTTTTTTAGGAGTAAGTATTTTTTGAGCTTTCGATAGAAGCCAATGAATGTTATTACATAATAAGGTGCCTGATTTTTACTTATTTATAAGACTAAATATTGACTTCAAGAAATAAAGGACTTTAAAGTGAATATAGACTTTTTTTCTTAGTTATTTCTACTTTAAATCAAAGTTTTTGTGTTAAATATTAGCATATAATTAAAGCATATAATTTTCGATGATTTCTGAGAAAACTGTAACTAGCGTCTGATCCGTCATTTACCTATATAATGAATAGACACTTAATCGGGTATACCACGTGTGATTCTCAAAAATAAATGCAATTTTCAAACATTTCCGATATTTTCCAGATAAACTATGTGACTTATTAACTATGTAGTATTACTTGTTTATACTATTACTTAATCTTTTTTGAAAATTAATACTCTTTACTTGTAAGTATTATTATTAAAGAAATCAATATTTTTCTATTAATAATTTTAACCTAATTACAAATTAATAATAAAAAAGGATCTGACATAAAGATAAATAAAGAGATATTTCAAAGATGTCATGAAGTAATTTTTTAACATTTTTGTTTCAATAATTGTTGATTCACCTATGAAAAAAAAGAAATATTATTTTAATAAGATTTAGCTTTCATTTTACAGGGACCAGAGTAATGGAACGGTAAGAGCGAGATATCTCCAACACAAGTATTACTTTTTTTTGCTGAAGTAGTCTCATGTATAATTTTGTAACATAAAAGATTATGATTATAAAGTGAATTAAACTCATTTTAGAAACTGAAGTACCAAATTTTATGTTTAATTGCAAATGTTTCGAATGCTCATACCGAGCAAAGAGGTGCTAGTTTAAAAAAAAAATCAAAATTCAATTATTCAAATTAATATATTCAGTCTAGGTTGATACATGGATTTGTGAAAGGTAAACTCTACGCCATCGGTTCGTAAATCTACGGCGGGAGACCTTGTACTGAGAAGAACCGGCAAGAAACTCAGCAAGGGCTGCTTTTTTTCCCTGTTTTACTTCATACAGAACGTCAAGATTGAAAAATGACTTCAATAAAATATGAAGTCACTTTCCATTACAATATTAGAAAATATAAGAGTAAAACAGTATTTTCGTCAATCGAATCACATTTGTAGTCAAAGAGGCTCACCGATAAACAATTTAATATTCATGAAAAATGAGCCGTATTTAACACCAAGAAGTTTTGTCGCTTAAATATTCATTAATAGTATAATATCCTTGACAAATAATAGCCGTAAAAAATTTCTGTATAGGAAAATTTTGTAGATATTCCTAAGCAATATAAATTGTAAAAACAAATTAACTTTCAATGATATTTAATAAACTGTTATACAAAAAAACTAAACATAAAAGACGGCTGATAGGGGTGAACTGTAATTGGTAAGTTCATTTGAACGTCGATTACTACTTCTATTAAAAAATAAACCTACACTAATATATATAATACGTATATATGAAATATATACTAATATATATAAAAGTAAAGAGCTCGTGACAAAAATGTTCAGTTCTTTTGATAATAAATTATTTTCTACTACAAATAACAAATTACAAATAAATCTACACTAATATATAATATACACTATACATATTACAGCTCGTGACATAAATGTGCAAGTGATACTTCACTATGTGGAAGTACTAATGATATACATCACTCAGTGGAGTGCGGATGTTGGTAGGTTTTCGCGTAACTATACAAACATCGTGTTCTGCTATACAAACGGCTAAAACCACCACAGTGAATACTAAGTGACTGTATACTTTTATACTTCCATATAGTGAAAGTTCGACCTTTAGAAAAATCTTGCAAATTTTTGTCACGAGCTCTCCGTCTATTTTTTCTTCTTCTTCTTCGCCAGCCCAGCCTGTTCGATGGCTTGTCTAGCTGCGTTACTGATATGTCTGAATCTGTCCGGGCCAAGCTGAATTCCTCCATACCTTGTAATATAAAAAAAAATAGTTTCATCAAACAGAAGTAATAAAGTTCATAACATTTATAATTTACTTTACTGATCTGAATCATAAAACCATTAATAATTATTGACCTTTTCAAGTGATAGATCACAGTAAGGTTGCTTACAAAATCGTCACCACAGTTGGGGCGCACACGTTCCCTGTGAAAAATGGGCCGTAACAATGCATCACGCAATCACAGTCCAGAGTTGTCTCGCCTGTTCACTACCCATAGCAATGTGACATTTTTCTTACACATTTATATCTTATATCTAAATCAGCTAAATCGGCCCATCTGTTCTGGAGTTTTAGGGAGATAAACGAACAGAAATTATTTTTTTTATATATAGAAGATCATTCTACTTTATTTTGTATAAAATAAAATGTACTCACCATCTGGTGACTATCACTAGCGTATTGTCCAAGTCCATGACTTTCATCAAATGCATCAAACGGCTTCCCGCGTGAGCCTCGCCGTCTTCATCAAAATCCTGAACGACGACGGCGGTGCCTTTAGCGGTGGACTGTTTGATACGATACGCGTACATGTTATGCTTGGCGTTCGATATTTTCTTATTTTCTTTCAGCTTGGCCAGAACGGATCTGTGTATAACATAAATATTTGACATTAAATATTTTGATTAATAACTAAAAAGATTGATATCTAAGCAAAATAATGATGCAGGACAGATTATACAGAACAGAATAGTTACTCGTGAATTATGATTGTTAGGCGTGTTCTCTTTAAATGAGGAATTGTAAGAATGTTATAGTTTCACAAAGAAACAATTTAAATAAATTAAAGGATTACACATTTTTGAAAACACGATACTTACTTGACATCATCAAGGCTGTGTACTTCAGCTGCATGCCCTTGGAAGACGCTTTTCCTATCCACTATAACATCCCCGTGAGTAATGTCGGGACAATTCAACTGAAAAAAAGAGCAAGATTGTAGAAAAAGGTCAAAATGTTTTTTTAGTTAAGATAGAATTTCCCATTGTACATAAGAACATACAGCCAACTTTTCATTTTATATTTGATAAATTGTGCATTCACAATTTTAATTGATATTGATATTTAACGTGGGGAGACTCTGCTTATAAAATGGGTAATTTGAAAACGGTAACTTTTTCGTTATTTATGTTTCAATGAGGGTCCAGAGCTGCCTTTGAGACGCATGTATTGTACGAGTATATTACATTGATATGATCTATGTAAAGCATGAAAATAAATTAAACCAAATTATGAAAACGGTTCTTTCAGAAATTGTCGTTTCCGTACAAACAGACTATTCTAATTTTTTAAATATATTTCTTTAGTATTTTTAAATGTATGACAAAAAGAAACAAACTATTTACTTATAGCAACCATTTCACAAAATCTTTGATTGAACCAATGTCCTCTTTTCATAGCATTTATTACAGATTATGAAGAAATAAACATGCAGTACTGTAAATTATGAACTAAAAATTCAACATACCTTCTCCAAACACGGGGTCTTTTTAGTTATTTTAATACGTATACTATCAGAGGGAGGTAATTTTCTAACGAACCCCCTTATGTGTTCGATTAATAAATAAATACTAACCTCACCGATATTTTCACTGAAAAATAATAATAATAAATACTCTTTATTACGCAAATAAAATGAAAACGACGTAGACAAAAAAATCTGTTACTGTTGTATTCTGCTCAAATGTTGTATACTAATATTTATAGATCAAAAGTAAAGTATTATTTTGAATATTAAAACATAATGTACCTCATATGGGTTATTTAAAATCATATTAACTATAAATTGATGATAAATGTAAATCGTAAATAACCACATAATTTTATTAAAGAGTAAAGTCATCTAAATGATAAATGTTGTTTTACTTACATACTGATCGTATCTAATTCATGAAGGAGCTTTGCCTTCGCTTTCCTACCCAGCCAAGGAGCTGACAGTTCGTATTTTGGAGGTCCGAGTTCTGGGTAGGTAGGTGGCATTGTAATGAAGAACAAAACTTCTTTATCGCCTTCTTTGATTTTCATACTGTACGATCTTGTTGCTTTACTCTCAATGGTCCACACATCATTATAGATAGCATTGAGAGCCTCAACCTCCTCCATCTAAAAAATAGACGATAATTAAATGAATTACATCACTATCATACTTAGAGATGGTGAGTTTCTTGCTCGTTCTTCGTGTCAGCAAAAAGACGTCCTGAACGAGTGGTAGGGAAAAAATGTTGGACGATTTAAAAGTAGTTTTAAGAAGTCCATTTGAATAAAGATTATTTTGACTTTGACTAATTTGAGTGTCAAATTCAAATTAGTGCGGTTGCAAATTTTGTAGAAGCCGCTTTTTAAGCAATAAAAATGCTATACCAAAAACCTACAGCAAAATTACATGTAAATAGTATTTTAATACATTTGTTAAATCTTTGTTTTAAAATATTAAATCATTTTATTTTATAGATATTCGATTATATATATATATATATATTCCTATGATTTCCTTTGATTTATAATGATGATTTCAAGATCAAAATAAACGATTTTTTTACATCACAGACTCTTGTCTCAAAGCCAAAGCCGGAACTTCATAGACGGTCGAACTGTGAAATAACCATGTAGATATCGTCAGAGAAAATAAAAAGGAAAGTTAAGTAAAGTTTCAAGTTGTACGCATACATGAAATTTTTGGGTTTAAATATACATATGTATTTTAAATTTTCATGAATATTTTTCATCCTATTTTAGTATTGGCTTGTTCTTTAAAAGCCCTAAGTTTGCAATATTGCATTATACGCCATATTTCACCCCTTTTCCAACATTCAACTAAATATTTTTATACAAGCGCAAGGGTGCACCACTTTCATTATTATGTATGTTTTATGTCTCAGTGTGTTTTATTCATAGATTTAAATTAGTGTAGCGCGCTTACGCGCATACTAAAACATTAAGTCTACGAAAGGGGTGAATTTTGGTGAAAAAATTGCAAACTTTGGGCTTTTAAAGAACAAACAAATCTTAAAATATGATAAAAAATATGCATAAAAACTAAAAAATATATGATCTGTAAGATTTTAAATACAAAAATTTCATCGATGCAATCAACCTGAAATTCAAGTTACTTTCAGGGCCGGAATAGCGGCTAATATCAGGCTAACATTTGTTTAAATCAAATGAAAAAATGTGTTTTCACTAACCTGCTTAGTCAAATTATCTGCCATCTTCTCCTCGTAATAAACACTGAACATGCACATCCACTCTATTCGAGATGGGAAGCTCAAGTGACGGGGTAGGATGATTGTTCCTGTATTTATAGCAGACCCGCTGCATTGTTTCAATAGAATAGGGACATAATACGAAATGAACAGGTAATGTAAAAATCACACGTGTTTTATAAACCTATTAAAATAAGAATATGGTTTTTCATTAAATAATAAAATGTATTGAAAAACTCAAACACGTTTAAAGTATATTTATAATTATATATTGGTTAAGGTTGTGGTTTACTTTTTTAAATTTTATAACACATACTAGCGAATGCGATTATTCATATTAAAATATCATTGCGATTGTTTTTATACCTATACCTATGTTACCTATATTTGTCATCGATATTTTATTTCTAAATAGGCTTGTCCTGTAGAAATATTTTTGTTATCAGAATAATAAAAGTGCGCTTTAGGTATTGAAATAAGTAACAATTGGTATTACAATTAATAACATGAACACTAAATTTGTACACTTATGATTAAATGTGCGTTCTATAATATAATATTATTAATAAGTCATCATCACCATCAGGTCTGCTGGGGCAAAGCCTTCCCTGTGTATGGAATCGATCGATCGATAGTAAAAGGGGAGCTCGCATCAAAAATGTGCAAGATCTTTTAAAAGCTAAATATTTCAGTATGTGGAAGTACTATAAATCACTTAGTACCCAATGTGGAGGTCAGGTGCTGGAACACCTGTAATATCAAGCTTTCAAAATCTTCTGCACATTTTTGTCATGACCTTTAGACTATACAGGGAGCAAGCCATAACATAATCACCACGCGGGCCCAAGGCGGATTGGAGGATGACATACCTACTCGTATATATCCTTTCCTCTTCCTATCCAGCAGTTTTTGTATATATATTGAAATGTAATTATATTAGACGGTTAGACGGTTTTCGATTTAGTTAGATAGATTAAATAAGATCAAAAACAAAGTTTTGATAAATTGCAGACAATTTCGTCGGAGTATTTCCTATTCATTTAAATTTTAAAACTCCACGCGTTTCAAAAAACTGCACACAGACAACTGCGTATTCTATGAGTGTTCTTTTTACTTTTGATATAAACCTTAATGTAAGCTTTATGTTAGTGTATTTTATATGATTGCCATATATTTTTTTCTGCTTAGCTAAATTTTTAAATATCAATTGATATTGCAATAGGTATCTAGAAGATACAAATATATATCCTAAATATATATTTTTTATTAGAGCAAGAGCAAAGCTATTATATCCGGCTATGAACATAGCTAGTTTACAATCTAAGGCCTAGACGATAGGGGCATTCTGTGTATCAAATGAAAGGACCGCATTAGCACATTTTAAATATACATACATCCATATATATTGATAGTTTTTGCTGAAATACTTAATTAAATAAATACTGTATTATCACATTCTTTTGTCAATGTTTTCCTATTTCAAAGATTTCGCAAATATATTAATACCTTCTTTAAATTCAAAACAATATTAAGAATGTAATTATATATAGCTAAAAGCTACCTATAGTCAAAGTCAAAATCGAAATATTGTTTTTCAAATAGACTTCCTAAAGGTATTTTAAACGTCCAAATTTGTTTTCCTTACCACTCTTTCAAGACGTCTTATGGCTGATAAGAAGAACGAGCAAGAAACTCACCAGCTCTAGTAAGAGTAATAACATTAACAAAAACCATGTCATTACCAGATCAATACATTATAAATAGAGAAAAAAAAAATACTATAGTCTTATAATGATAACATAATCCTATTAATATTATAAATGTGAAAATTTCTTTGTTTGAATGTTTGTCGGTCAATCACGCCGAAACTTTTATTCCACTAAACATTTCCTTAGGGACCACGCGGACGAAGCCGCTGGCGAAAGCTAGTCATTTAATAATAATTTAAACAAGATAATTTTGATATATGTATAATGAGTTAAGAAGAAATCACCTATCCAGTTGCTGGATCATCTTTAATCCAAGCATTATTTTCTGATATAATCGGATACCTTATATAATAAGCTTTTATAATAAGTATTTTTTTAATAGTAGATTTAAACTGCATGATATCAAATTATTATATTTTGCTTCGGATCTTATCGTAGAAATGCACACAAAGACCTCTGAATGAATGAGTTACCAACCTTTTGGAGTCTAGTGACAGGTACAGTTAATTTATTTTTATTTCTTGTCACTTTTTATAGAAAACAAACTAATATTTTTACGAACGTACATTAAGTTCTCGTATATGTATTGAGAAGCAACAGTTATTATATCTATTTCTTTAAATTGCCCCCTTAAAGAGTCCCTAATCCTAAGGTTATAAATTGATCTAATTGCGCTTTTCTGAAGCACAAAAATCGTTTTGAATGTCTGCAGCGTCTCCCCACAATAGGATTCCGTACGACATTACACTATGAAAGAATATTATTTATGTAATATATAAGAATATTATATTAACAATATTTTAGAGATTAGAATCACAATGTGTGATTTGTTCGTGTTTTCTTTTTCTTTAGAGTGAAATATATTTATTCAATTTGAAAAGGTTAATTAGTCAAATTAAAATCTAAAATTGCTTTAGTTTTATATTATGACAATAAATATATTTTTATAACAAACAAAATTTGCAATTATACTGTAACTTTGAAAAATAATAATAATAACATGTTTACTACATTTATAAGGTTACCTTAAAGTTGAGACTAAGAGATAGTATTGAGACTATAGCCTATTATGGTGACCCAAATGTAGGTATCCAAACTTTTTGCCTTTGATGTTTTGCAAATTGTATTTCAAATTGATATAACTTTTTTATTTATGAACTTATTTAAATAAAACGTACACTAAATGTTAACGGAAGGTCACTTAGGTTATACAATATTATAGTGAAAACCGCATTAAAATCAGTTCAGCCCTTTCTGAGATTAATGTGCACAAACGCACAGAAAAACAGCCAAAAATTGAAAAAGAAAATATAAACATATAATCATAACAGTTACTTTCTAATATTTTTAATGTACACACAGCTATCGGTGACGTTTTATTCTCTTGATTGATTTTCGTTATGAAATGTTTGTTTTAAAAATATAATAAATTTTTTCTCATACCAAGATAAAACAATATAAAATCTATAACAATAAATATACACATTATTGTTATATACACAATAATATATATAATCGGGTATACCACGTGTGATTTTAAAAAATAAGTGCAATGTCCATACATTTCAGATATTTTCCAGATCAACTATGTGACATATCAATCATGTAGTATTACTTGTTGTACTATTACTTAAATAACTATAATCTTTTTTGAAAATTAGGGCTCTTTACTTGTGAGTATTATTACAAAAGAAATCATTATTTTTCTATTTATAATTTTAACCTAATTAAAAATTAATAATAAAAAAAGAACTGAGATAAAGATAAATAAATAGTTATTTCAATGATGTCATGAAGTAATTTTTTAACATTTTTGTTTCAATAATTGTTGATTCACCTATGAAAAAAAAGAAATATTATTTTAATAAGATTTAGCTTTTATTTTACAAGGAACAGAGTAATGGAACGGTAAGAGCGAGATATCTCCAACACGAGTATTACTTTTTTTTGCTGGAGTAGTCTCATGTATAATTTTATTACATAAAAGATTATGATTATAAAGTGAATTGAAACTGAAGTACCAAATTTTATGTTTAATTGCAAATGTTTCGAAAGCTCATACTGAGCAAAGAGGTGCTAGTTTTTTTTAAACAAAAATCAAAATACAATTATTCAAATTAATATATTCAGTCTAGGTTGATACAAGGATTTGTGAAAGGTAAACTCTACGCCATCGGTTCGTAAATCTACGGCGGGAGACCTTGTACTGAGAAGAACCGGCAAGAAACTCAGCAAGGGCTGCTTTTTTTCCCTCTTTTATTTCATACAGAGCGTCAAGATTGAAAAATGACTTCAATAAAATATGAAGTCACTTTCCATTACAATATTAGAAAATATAAGAGTAAAACAGTATTTTCGTCAATCGAATCACATTTGTAGTCAAAGAGGCTCACCGATAAACAATTTTATATACCTACATGAAAAATGAGCCATATTTAACACCAAGAGGTTTTGTCGCTTAAATATTCATTAACAGTATAATATAATATCCTTGACAAATAACAGCCATAATAAATTTCTGTATAGGAAAATTTTGTAGACAGTTAACAAAATTATATATTGTGTTTGTCAAGCTGAGCGATATTCATGTGTTCAAAATTTGGATCTTGTAGAGCCGCTGGAAGGTATAATTATATTTTTGATGACCGGTATATCAGTGAGTCAATCAGTGACAAAATTACGACTTTTGATAATTGCAATAATTCTAAACTACAGTGTACTATGTAATCTCACTTACTATTGTAGTCCAAAAATCGCCTAATAACTTACAAGGGGTCAAAAATGTCTTAAGGTAGTCTTTAAATAAATATACAAGTATATACCTAATTATTCCTAATCAATATTAATTGTAATAACAAATTAACTTTCAATGATATATAATAAATTGTTATACTAAAAAACTAAACATAAAAGACGGCTGATAGGGGATAACTGTACTTGGAAACTTCATTTGAACGTCGAATATTATTTCTATCAAAAAATAAACCTACACTAATATATATATATATATATATATAATAATATATATATATATATATATATATATATATATATATATATATAATACACCATACACTTAAAAGTAAAGAAATCGTGTCAAAAATGGACAAGTTTTCTAACAGTCAATGCTTCAGTAAGTTCCTTTGATATTAAATTATTTTCTATTACAAATAACAAATAAATCTACACTAATATATAATATACACTATACATATTACAGCTCGTGACATAAATGTGCAAGTGATACTTCACTATGTGGAAGTACTAATGATATACATCACTCAGTGGAGTGCGGATGTTAGTAGGGTTTTCGCGTAACTATACAAACAACGTGTTCCGGCTTCGATCAATAAATATAACTACAGCTAAATCCATCACAGTGAATACTAAGTGACTGTATACTTTTATACTTCCATATAGTGAAAGTTCGACCTTTAGAAAAATCTTGCAAATTTTTGTCACGAGCTCTCCGTCTATTTTTTCTTCTTCTTCTTCGCCAGCCCAGCCTGTTCGATGGCTTGCCTAGCTGCGTTACTGATATGTCTGAATCTGTCCGGGCCAAGCTGAATTCCTCCATACCTTGTAATATAAAAAAAAATAGTTTCATCAAACAGAAGTAATAAAGTTCATAACATTTATAATTTACTTTACTGATAAATCATAAAACCATTAATAATTATTGACCTTTTCAAGTGATAGATCACAGTTAGGTTGCTTACAAAATCGTCACCACAGTTGGGGCGCACACGTTCCCTGTGGTTGGAATCGATAGGAAGAATGGGCCGTAACAATGCATCACGCAATCACAGTCCAGAGTTGTCTCGCCTGTTCACTACCCATAGCAATGTGACATTTTTCTTACACATTTATATCTTATATCTAAATCAGCTAAATCGGCCCATCTGTTCTGGAGTTTTAGGGAGATAAACGAACAGAAATTATTTTTTTATATATAGAAGATCATTGTACTTTATTTTGTATAAAATAAAATGTACTCACCATCTGGTGACTATCACTAGCGTATTGTCCAAGTCCATGACTTTCATCAAATGCATCAAACGGCTTCCCGCGTGAGCCTCGCCGTCTTCATCAAAATCCTGAACGACGACGGCGGTGCCTTTAGCGGTGGACTGTTTGATACGATACGCGTACATGTTATGCTTGGCGTTCGATATTTTCTTATTTTCTTTCAGCTTGGCCAGAACGGATCTGTGTATAACATAAATATTTGACATTAAATATTTTGATTAATAACTAAAAAGATTGATATCTAAGCAAAATAATGATGCAGGACAGATTATACAGAACAGAATAGTTACTCGTGAATTATGATTGTTAGGCGTATTCTCTTTAAATGAGGAATTGTAAGAAAGTTATAGTTTCACAAAGAAACAATTTAAATAAATTAAAGGATTACACATTTTTGAAAACACGATACTTACTTGACATCATCAAGGCTGTGTACTTCAGCTGCATGCCCTTGGAAGACGCTTTTCCTATCCACTATAACATCCCCGTGAGTAATGTCGGGACAATTCAACTGAAAAAAAGAGCAAGATTGTAGAAAAAGGTCAAAATGTTTTTTTAGTTAAGATAGAATTTCCCATTGTACATAAGAACATACAGCCAACTTTTCATTTTATATTTGATAAATTGTGCATTCACAATTTTAATTGATATTGATATTTAACGTGGGGAGACTCTGCTTATAAAATGGGTAATTTGAAAACGGTAACTTTTTCGTTATTTATGTTTCAATGAGGGTCCAGAGCTGCCTTTGAGACGCATGTATTGTACGAGTATATTACATTGATATGATCTATGTAAAGCATGAAAATAAATTAAACCAAATTATGAAAACGGTTCTTTCAGAAATTGTCGTTTCCGTACAAACAGACTATTCTAATTTTTTAAATATATTTCTTTAGTATTTTTAAATGTATGACAAAAAGAAACAAACTATTTACTTATAGCAACCATTTCACAAAATCTTTGATTGAACCAATGTCCTCTTTTCATAGCATTTATTACAGATTATGAAGAAATAAACATGCAGTACTGTAAATTATGAACTAAAAATTCAACATACCTTCTCCAAACACGGGGTCTTTTTAGTTATTTTAATACGTATACTATCAGAGGGAGGTAATTTTCTAACGAACCCCCTTATGTGTTCGATTAATAAATAAATACTAACCTCACCGATATTTTCACTGAAAAATAATAATAATAAATACTCTTTATTACGCAAATAAAATGAAAACGACGTAGACAAAAAAATCTGTTACTGTTGTATTCTGCTCAAATGTTGTATACTAATATTTATAGATCAAAAGTAAAGTATTATTTTGAATATTAAAACATAATGTACCTCATATGGGTTATTTAAAATCATATTAACTATAAATTGATGATAAATGTAAATCGTAAATAACCACATAATTAAAGAGTAAAGTCATCTAAATGATAAATGTTGTTTTACTTACATACTGATCGTATCTAATTCATGAAGGAGCTTTGCCTTCGCTTTCCTACCCAGCCAAGGAGCTGACAGTTCATATTTTGGAGGTCCGAGTTCTGGGTAGGTAGGTGGCATTGTAATGAAGAACAAAACTTCTTTATCGCCTTCTTTAATTTTCATACTGTACGATCTTGTTGCTTTACTCTCAATGGTCCACACATCATTATAGATAGCATTGAGAGCCTCAACCTCCTCCATCTAAAAAATAGACGATAATTAAATGAATTACATCACTATCATACTTAGAGATGGTGAGTTTCTTGCTAGTTCTTCGTATCAGCAAAAAGACGTCCTGAACGAGTGGTAGGGAAAAAATGTTGGACGATTTAAAAGTCGTTTTAAGAAGTCCATTTGAATAAAGATTATTTTGACTTTGACTAATTTGAGTGTCAAATTCAAATTAGTGCGGTTGCAAATTTTGTAGAAGCCGCTTTTTAAGCAATAAAAATGCTATACCAAAAACCTACAGCAAAATTACATGTAAATAGTATTTTAATACAATTGTTTTAAAATATTAAATCATTTTATTTTAAAGATATTCGATTATATATATATATATTCCTATGATTTCCTTTGATTTATAATGATGATTTCAAGATCAAAATAAACGATTTTTTTACATCACAGACTCTTGTCTCAAAGCCAAAGCCGGAACTTCATAGACGGTCGAACTGTGAAATAACCATGTAGATATCGTCAGAGAAAATAAAAAGGAAAGTTAAGTAAAGTTTCAAGTTGTACGCATACATGAAATTTTTGGGTTTAAATATACATATGTATTTTAAATTTTCATGAATATTTTTCATCCTATTTTAGTATTGGTTTGTTCTTTAAAAGCCCTAAGTTTGCAATATTGCATTATACGCCATATTTCACCCCTTTTCCAACATTCAACTAAATATTTTTACACAAGCGCAAGGGTGCACCACTTTCATTATTATGTATGTTTTATGTCTCAGTGTGTTTTATTCATAGATTTAAATTAGTGTAGCGCGCTTACGCGCATACTAAAACATTAAGTCATTAAGTAAGAAAGGGGTGAATTTTGGTGAAAAAATTGCAAACTTTGGGCTTTTAAAGAACAAACAAATCTTAAAATATGATAAAAAATATGCATAAAAACTAAAAAAATATATGATCTGTAAGATTTTAAATACAAAAATTTCATCGATGCAATCAACCTGAAATTCAAGTTACTTTCAGGGCCGGAATAGCGGCTAATATCAGGCTAACATTTATTTAAATCAAATGAAAAACTGTGTTTTCACTAACCTGCTTAGTCAAATTATCTGCCATCTTCTCCTCGTAATAAACACTGAACATGCACATCCACTCTATTCGAGATGGGAAGCTCAAGTGACGGGGTAGGATGATTGTTCCTGTATTTATAGCAGACCCGCTGCATTGTTTCAATAGAATAGGGACATAATACGAAATGAACAGGTAATGTAAAAATCACACGTGTTTTATAAACCTATTAAAATAAGAATATGGTTTTTCATTAAATAATAAAATGTATTGAAAAACTCAAACACGTTTAAAGTATATTTATAATTATATATTGGTTAAGGTTGTGGTTTACTTTTTTAAATTTTATAACACATACTAGCGAATGCGATTATTCATATTAAAATATCATTGCGATTGTTTTTATACCTATACATATGTAACCTATATTTGTCATCGATATTTTATTTCTAAATAGGCTTGTCCTGTAGAAATATTTTTGTTATCAGAATAATAAAAGTGCGCTTTAGGTATTGAAATAAGTAACAATTGGTATTACAATTAATAACATGAACACTAAATTTGTACACTTATGATTAAATGTGCGTTCTAAGAATATTATTAATAAGTCATCATCACCATCAGGTCTGCTGGGGCAAAGCCTTCCCTGTGTATGAATCGATCGATCGATAGTAAAAGGGGAGCTCGCATCATAAATGTGCAAGAGCTTTTGAAAGCTAAATATTTCAGTATGTGGAAGTACTATAAATCACTTAGTACCCAATGTGGAGGTCAGGTGCTGGAACACCTGTAATATCAAGCTTTCAAAATCTTCTGCACATTTTTGTCATTACCTTTAGACTATACAGGGAGCAAGCCATAACATAATCACCACGCGGGCCCAAGGCGGATTGGAGGATGACATACCTACTCGTATATATCCTTTCCTCTTCCTATCCAGCAGTTTTTGTATATATATTGAAATGTAATTATATTAGACGGTTATATTTTTCGATTTAGTTAGATAGATTAAATAAGATCAAAAACAAAGTTTTGATAAATTGCAGACAATTTCGTCGGAGTATTTCCTATTCATTTAAATTTTAAAACTCCACGCGTTTCAAAAAACTGCACACAGACAACTGCGTATTCTATGAGTGTTCTTTTTACTTTTGATATAAACCTTAATGTAAGCTTTATGTTAGTGTATTTTATATGATTGCCTAATATTTTTTTCTGCTTAGCTAAATTTTTAAATATCAATTGATATTGCAATAGGTATCTAGAAGATACAAATATATATCCTAAATATATATATTTTATTAGAGCAAGAGCAAAGCTATTATATCCGGCTATGAACATAGCTAGTTTACAATCTAAGGCCAAGACGACTGGGGCATTCTGTGTATCAAATGAAAGGACCGCATTAGCACATTTTAAATATACATACATCCATATATATATTGATAGTTTTTGCTGAAATACTTAATTAAATAAATACTGTATTATCACATTCTTTTGTCAATGTTTTCCTATTTCAAAGATTTCGCAAATATATTAATACCTTCTTTAAATTCAAAACAATATTAAGAATGTAATTATATATAGCTAAAAGCTACCTATAGTCAAAGTCAAAATCGAAATATTGTTTTTCAAATAGACTTCCTAAAGGTATTTTAAACGTCCAAATTTGTTTTCCTTACCACTCTTTCAAGACGTCTTATGGCTGATAAGAAGAACGAGCAAGAAACTCACCAGCTCTAGTAAGAGTAATAACATTAACAAAAACCATGTCATTACCAGATCAATACATTATAAATAGAGAAAAAAAAATACTATAGTCTTATAATGATAACATAATCCTATTAATATTATAAATGTGAAAATTTCTTTGTTTGAATGTTTGTCGGTCAATCACGCCGAAACTTTTATTCCACTAAACATTTCCTTAGGGACCACGCGGACGAAGCCGCTGGCGAAAGCTAGTCATTTAATAATAATTTAAACAAGATAATTTTGATATATGTATAATGAGTTAAGAAGAAATCACCTATCCAGTTGCTGGATCATCTTTAATCCAAGCATTATTTTCTGATATAATCGGATACCTTATATAATAAGCTTTTATAATAAGTATTTTTTTAATAGTAGATTTAAACTGCATGATATCAAATTATTATATTTTGCTTCGGATCTTATCGTAGAAATGCACACAAAGACCTCTGAATGAATGAGTTACCAACCTTTTGGAGTCTAGTGACAGGTACAGTTAATTTATTTTTATTTCTTGTCACTTTTTATAGAAAACAAACTAATATTTTTACGAACGTACATTATTAATAATACATAATAATAAGTACATTAATAATAATAACACCACAGATATCTTCACAGATTTTACAAACTAAACAATACATCAAAGTGTAACAAACGGCGGTCTTATCGCTGAAAGCGATTTCTGCCAGACAACCATTGGATGGATAGGAATGTTAATTATAACGAAACGGGGGTGTAAACTTAGAGTAGGTTATTCCAAATAAATAATTGAAACATAACAATAATAGACACCAGAAGTTGACAAATATATAAACAGCAAAGATTGTGCTAGAGCAAGTTTAGTGGCAGTCGGCAAAAAGGTACGCAACCTCCTCAGTGACGCAGCAGAAGCATACAGTTTACGACTTACATATTGCAACTGAGGTCCCCAGCTCAAACTACTATCAAAGATCATACCTAAGTTTTTTACTGATAAGCTATAAGGGATGTCAGTCCCATCAAAGTTAATCTTAGGTAACAGATGCCAGTCCAATTTGGAGGTCAATCTAGAGCTACCTACTATCATTGCATTAGTCTTGGTAAGATTAACTTTAAGACCAAAGGACTTGCTCCATTCTACTATATGATCTAAATCAGTATTAGCGATGTGTACTGCCTCGATGAGCTGTGAAGGAGGAGCTTGACAGTAGATTTGAAGGTCGTGTGCGTAAAGGTGGTAGGAAGAAGTAAGTTTCTGAGAAATAAAATTGATGAAAATCGCGAAAAGCAGAGGAGATAAAACGCCACCCTGTGGAACACCAGCAGTCGTATCGCACCAAGAGAAATAATTCTCCTCAATACGTACTCTTTGCCGGCATCCATACAGATAACTGTGAAACCACTCAGTTACGGATGGAGATATGTTAATAGAGCGTAGCAGAGCTAGTAAGATGTCAAAGTTGACAGTATTAAAAGCACTACTAAAATCCAACAGCGTAAGTATAGTTAGAAGACCGTTTTCCATTCCAAACCGGATGTCGTCGGTGATTATAATTAAAGTGGTACTGGTACTATGGCCTGGACGAAAACCGGATTGAAAAGGATTCAAGAGATCATGACGAGTAAGAAAAGAATTTAACTGGTTATGGATAAGACGCTCAAGGACTTTGGAAAGGAATGAAAGAATGGAGATGGGTCTAAAGTCAGAAAAGGATTTCGGAAGGCGTTTTTTAGGAAGAATAATAATTTGAGCGTCTTTCCAAGCAGAAGGAAAAACAGACTTTGAAGTGGAATTATTGAAAATAAGAGAAAGGACTGATATTAAGTTCTCGTATATGTATTGAGAAGCAACAGTTATTATATCTATTTCTTTAAATTTCCCCCTTAAAGAGTCCCTAATCCTAAGGTTATAAATTGATATAATTGCTCTTTTCTGAAGCACAAAAATCGTTTTGAATGTCGGCAGCGTCTCCCCACAATAGGATTCCGTACGACATTAAACTAGAAAGAATATTATTTATGTAATATATAAGAATATTATATTAACAATATTTTAGTGATAAGAATCACAATGTGTGATTTGTTCGTGTTTTCTTTTTCTTTAGAGTGAAATATATTTATTCAATTTGAAAAGGTTA